AAGCTGTAGTCAGAAGCACTAAAAAGTGAGTAGTTTGTTTCTTCCCAAAACAAGTCAAGGTTCACTTTAATCAGCCACAAAGATCATTTCTAGAGGGCAGAATTCATAAGATAGTTTCCATACACTTATCTTTAGTATCAGCCCTAAACAGTTTAGCTAAGGAAGTAATTTCAGTAAGAGAATGGCAATGGAAAGCTGTTAACACTCAGGAGGATTAACAACTCTAGAGAGATGTTTTGCAATGAAATTATACCAACACTTGCTTTTTTCTTCCACTAAAATTAAGCACACAGAAGAAAGGATCTACTTTATGAGAATACATATTGAAAAACAAATTGCAAGCTAGTTAGTTCTCTGACATTCCAGTAATTCATATTAAGGACACAGGTAAGCAGTTAATGTAATAACAAACAGTTCCCTGGTTCATCTTTAAGGCATGTTACACAATTCATGTTCTTCAGTTTGACATTGTTAAACTTTCTGTTTGAATGCATAGAATTAAATCCAAGGAAAATATGAAGCTATTTCAGAAAAAGAAAACAGTTACATAGCTTAATTTAAATGGACAAAAATATGAAAAATATGTATTTTTTAAAAAAAACACAAAAAAACACAAAACCAAACAACTAACTAACCACAACAGTTTGAGCCACACTATAAAAGAGAAGTTTTGCTGTGATTCAGACCCGGAACAAAGCAGAACTAAAACTTCCAAGGTTAGAAAAGGACACATTATCTGGGTTTGCTTGGATAGGGAACTCAAAGTTACCCATGCAGAGAATCATGGAGACAGATGCTGTGATGAAGACTGCTTCTCCAAGCTGAAAAAAGAGTTTGCCCAGAGAAGGAAGGTTTATAAGGATGTCTCAGGCACAGCTGTAAGCCGCCGGGGGACCATCTGATGAAGAAGCACATAAAGTGCATTTAAAACAACTGTGACTTTCCATCACAGTGAGCTACCACAGACTCCTTGAGGGAATATCAGATGAGTGCAGCTTCTGTTAGCCCTGCTGAAGTAGTCAAAATTGATGTCTAAAAGCTGGCTCTGACCTTGCACTGCGATTTACAGAACAGCAAAGGAACAGGTTTAATCTCTTGACAGGCAGGATTGTGTCTTTGATGACAGATTCCAGCTCAGTTAGTCCAGATACATACATCTGACTATTCTGTCCAGGAAAACTTCAAGCCTATCTGAAGAAATGCTCTTAAATTAGTGAATCAGAGTATATGGAACTGCATCTCTCTGTGAAAACCAATGTATAAGATTCAGAATGATGCTTGCTCTTCTATTAGTAAAAGAAAGTAAAAGAAGAAATCGGATCCCTCCACGTTTACAAAACCATACTCAGAGGCAGGCACCAGACACAGAATGTTTTGTGTCACCAACAAAGAAAAGACAATCAGGCATCTCCAGAGCCATCTTGGTTTGGGAGGTTTCTGTGCTATCAACTTCTGACATTAAGCAAAGAGTGTTTTACCAGCATGGACCTGGATCTTTATAGGGCCAAAAAGATTTTAAACTATTAAGACCTAATCCAAAACACAAATAAAATCCTGCAGATGCAACTAGAGTCAGTAGGTTTATACATAGTGTTCAGGTGCTTTTGTGGCTCTCTTGGCAAGATCAGGCTGCAGCCATCTGCTGTACATATTACCACAGGGAGCACTGGTTTGCTGCCACTGTTAAAATGGAATAGACAGGTTCTTTCCAGTTTTGTTGTCCTCTGACATTTCTTACACTTCTTTCGGACCCAATCTTGTCATTTAGGGCCAATAGAATTCTGGGGTGCATAAGGAAGTGTGTGGCCAGTAGGGCTAGGTAGGTCATTCTCCCCCTCTCCTCTGCCCTTGGTGAGGCCACATTTGGAGAACTGCATCCAGTCTGGGCTCCACAGCTCGAGAGACAGGGAGCTACTAGAGAGAGCCCAGGGGAGGGCAACAAAGATGACTGAGGGATTGGAGCATCTCCCTTATGAGGAAAAGCTGAGTGAGCTGGGACTCTAGCCTGGAGAAGGCTGAGGGGAGACCTTATTAATGTCTATAAGTATCTAGAGGGTGGGTGTAAGAAGGATGGAGCCAGACTCTTTTCAGTAGTGCCCAGCAATAATGCATGAGACAATGGCCATAAACTGGAACACTGAAAGTGCCATCTGAATATGAAGGAAAACTTCTTTATGGTGAGGGTGACAGAGCACTGAGACAGGCTGCCTAGGGGGGTTACGGAGTCCCCTTCTCTGGAGATATTCAAGATGTGCCTGGATGCAGCCCTGAGTAATATGCTCTAGGGATCCTGTTTTAGCAGGGGAGTTGGACTAGAAGGTCTCTAGAGGTCCCTTCCAACACTGACAATTCGGTGATTCCGTGAAAGGACAGAAGGAGATGAGAAAGGCTGCATCTCCTCTCATTTCCAGAGCTCTGCAACAGCATTTGAAATGCTGGGTGTTCTGTATCACTCACAAAATTTTAGACATACATAGAATAAGGGGCAAACTCCATAGTGAACTGGGTTTGGTAAAACTGAAGCCAGAAGCAGCTGGTCCAACTCTTACACTGAATCTTAACAGAAAAGATCTCTTGACATCACACTCATAAGAATGTAATTTAAATAAAATTCAAGCCTCAAAGCTTCAAAGTCTCATAAGCTTCAAAATCCTCCTCTCTTTTATTCTACTAGGAACTGTTCCATAAGTGCCATCAGACTTTCTTCTGTCTTTCTTTTAACTAAGACTTCTTCTGATCTTTTTGGTGCTTTTCATTGCCATCCTCATTCCGAATGTCTCTAATATTGTTTTTCAAGTGAGCAGAGGGCAGAAGACAGACTTCTGAATGTGGTCTACACCATGTTTCGCTAGTGTTTCTTTTTTAATAGGGATAATAAAGAATGAATACACAAAAAGTGATGGTCCATCAACTCAGCTACAGCCCTTTGTAACAATACAAACAAGAGAGTCCACAATAGCTTAAGGCTTCCACTGCTTATACCAGTTTTGGCACAGTCAGAGGATTCAGCTGAGCCACTTTTCAACTGTGCTAGGAAAAAATGAAGGGATAATTTGACCCAAGTTTATACAGCAGGGAGATCTAATTTAGTTGCAGAGAGCTGAAATACTCAATCAAAACTTCAAGTGACAGACGAGATGAAACCATCTGTTCCAAAATGATTCAACAATACATACATCTATGGTAATAATGAGATTAAAACAAGCTCTAAATCCTAAAATTTATGTGGACAGCTCTGCAAGATCTGGGAAAGGCTGATGGGCTTCCTTTCCCATATTTCTTTTGCTATATATCAATGCTTCAATATACACTTCCAATGCTCACTTCAACTGTCCTTCAAAGCAATGTATACTGTGCTACTTTTGCTTGCTTCTGCAATTTAGTTTAACAGCAACAGCTTCTAGCCTAACATGACTGACAATCTCTGAGTTTATTTAGGAAAATATGGAAAAGAAAATATGTTTATATTGCTTACAAAGGAAAAATGAGAGTTCAGTAAAAACTCTCCCTGGGGAATAGTTTTCGGAAATCTCATTACAGTTCAGGCAATCTGTTTTGTTTTCACAGGACTGATTTACAATGCATGAAGGTTTGGTGTTAGGAGTACTACACAGCTATGCTTTAATTTGGTCAAGGTCACACATGAGATCTGAGGTGAAACTATGAAGTGAACTTTTGCCTTCACCACCAGATGGGCTCAGAAAAGTAACCCCACCATGACCACACTAATCAAACACAACACAGACATTCTCAACTACGCAGAAGACCACATACTACAAAAGCTTTGCAATGAGCAGGAGAGGATTCATGAAGAAGACACAAGAAGGAACACTTTCTTCACCACCTGCCCCTCAGAAACACCTACATGGAGTGTGCTCTGCACCTCCCATGCTTCTTTCACAGCAGCACTCGACTCAACTTCTGCGGATTTTTTAAATAAACAGGGAGGATATATACCAACCCTGGATTAAATATTGGGCATTTTCACAGCATCCTGTTGTTTTTTTCCCTAGTACAACTTGCCTTAATCACCTCCAAAGATTTCCCATTGCCTACTGCACTTCTTGGCTGCCTACGTAAGCACCATGAAGGAGGCTTATGCCATGCAATGGCCTCCTGCTCCAGTTCTGCACTCTCAGCACACACCGCTGACCTCAAACACATTCCCATAACTCAGTCCTCAGTCCAACCTACTCGTTATTACACTTCCCACGATCTTTACTCTCCCCACACCTCCCAACTCTGTGTGCTGCCCCAGGCAGAGCTGTCCTCCCCTGCCACCTCCAAGAGGACAGAGTCCTTCTTCCTCTCGCAGGTAGCAGTGGGGAACTGGTCCTTATTCCTCCCTTCCAGCTTCCTGAGCTGTCTTTTCTTTTCAGTGTATTCTCCTGAACACTGTGCTGATAGGGGAAGCCTTTCTTCAGTCACAGGGGTGGGTGCTTAAACCCATCGTGGCCCTCTTTTCCTGGCACAGCTGGCAGCAACACCTCGCTGAGGGACACACAAGCTGCTGGAGATCCCTCGCTGTAGTTACTATACGACCACCACCAAGAACAAACAACAAAAACACCACCAAAAACTGCCGCGTTCAGCAAATCACTACATTCGGTGAAGCAGGAGACCGTCAGGAGGCCAAGCGCGGAGAAACGGGCCACATCTAATTCTCCTCACGCTCTCTACATCCTAAATCAGACGCCAGATTTCCGACCTCGACCGGATTTTCCGCCTCTTTTCCCGCACCAACCCCCGCCCCGGCAGCCGCTCGGCAC